GCCGCGCGCGCCTTACGCTATATTCGCTCGAGCGCGTACAAGTTCGGAGGCTATTTACATAACCTCAAGCCCGCGAGAGGAGGAAGCTGCTGAGATCTTCTCTCCGGCTCGGCTCTAGCCATGGTAGTATATATAGCTACGCTGGTTACTCGCTGCAGAGTATACGTATATAGCGCAAATAATTAAGATGCTGGTTTGCGCTCTTTCTTCGTTTCTATATACGATCTCGTCGTCGTTACAGCGGCTACCCCCCGCCTGCACGCCAACGCCCGGCCACGCGCTACTACTACTACTACTACTACTACTACCTCTAGCTGCGGCTAAGACAATAATATTCATCTTAAAAGGAAAACTTGGATTTATTAGCATAGAGCGCAGCAGCTCGAGATTACGTATGCGGGGGTGGCTAGAGAACTGCGACTACGACGACTATACGCAAGCACAAACTGCTGCTGCTGCGGCGCACGACGTATAATAAATTTCGCTCTTATTATAAGAAACAATTACAAGAGACAGAGAGTCCGCGAATAATGATTCATTGCGCTGCTTGCAAGCGCGTGTGTATTTAAATAAAGATAGAGAGAGAGAGAGAGAGAGAGAAGCTGCGCGCCGCACTCGCTGCATTGCGCAAAGTCATTCGTTATGAAACGCTCGCCGCTGGCGCGCGGCGGAATAATAATTATATGCTCTTCGATACGATGATGAAATGCAGCCGGCATGAATGCATACACTCCGAGCGCCATGCCATGCTGATTAGTTGCGAGTGTGTTTCGCCCAATTGAGCACAATGCCAAGCATCATCATCATCATCATCATACAAGTTTATATTATAATGTAGAGCATTGGGTCTCGGTGCGTGAGTGGCGGCGCGCGTCTATCGCGCAAACTAGGGGGTAAAGGAGAAAAATCGACCGAAGATAAGGAGTTGCGCGACACTGCAGCTGCTAGAGGCTATGTCGGCCGATGCTGCAAATGGATAACGATATTAGTGTTTAGTTTGGTTTTGCGCTTCAAAGAGCTATTTATATATCTTTAATAAGTGCGCTCCGAGCTGGCACATATTTCATACAAAAGACTTGAATTTCTACTCTGTAAGTTATATAGCATAAAATCAATCATGCATTCGATATTAATTATTTTGTCGTGCGCATCCCACATTAATTATTGAATTATCGAAAGCTAATCACGTAGTTTTTAAAGTGCGACCGAGATTATGAAACAATATCAATTTCTCTATTCGCTTCATTCGCATCATGTAGCTATTTACACGACAATTCGAGGAGTGATATACACGCGACTAGTCAATGAAAATTCATGAAAATATCATAGAAACTGCGCGCGAAGTGCATCGTGACTTTTGCACAATCGTAAAACGCGACGAGCGACTCTGTGGCAGCGCACGTTCTCTCCGGGAAAGGATGCACTTTTGCTTCATCCAGAATGCGGCGCGCGCTGTCTGGCGCTTTTATCTCTTTGACACTTGAAGAACAAGCGTGTGTGTGTGTGTGTGTGTGTGTGTGTGTATGTGTGCAGCTTTGAGCAAAAAAAAAGTTTCAAAACGCGCGCCAAATACACACGTACAGCTGCCGCACAACGACTCAATATATACGAATAGACTCGCACACAGCCGCGCAAGTACTTCTTTCTTCTTCTTCAACTTTGACTTCTTTGTCTTTTTTATTTTTTTGTTGCCAAGAGACAAAACGACGCCTAGCTCTCCTTATATATATAGGGGCACTAGATTCTCAACGGTCAGAAATTAATTTCCGGAGACTGTACGCAGCCGCTCGCACAGCTTTAAACTCTCGGTGGGTAAAACGCGCTGCATTGCTACTAGCTGCTAGGACGCGCTAGCCGAGTAGCAAAGGATGAGCATCGAGCGACCACAAAACATAGTTCATTAAAGTAGTTTTGACGCGAGAGAAGCGTTGTGGGGCCCATACACACGTACACTACATACACACACACACTCACACTCGTGTAACGTACGCTGCGCAGTACACACCGAATGCAGTCGCTCGCAGTTGCGCGCTGCAGCAGATCTAGGTCACGAACAGCAGGCCAAAGAGTACGTATGCGCGCTTATAACCAACTTAAAGCTCCGAAAGCAACCGCTGCTGTATGTGTATTATGTACGTGCATGTGTAGGGAGAGGGAGAGAGTGAAATTTTCACGCTAATTTATCATAGTTCGAAATTTAATTAAAATGTAGCCTACAGACACAAACCGGCAAATTTCGAAGATATAACAACTTGTGTGTTACGTACGGTAACACGCATTAATTGATTATACACGTAAACGCCTACAAGACACTTTTGATCGGCTTACGTGTGTGCTTGCGCAAGGTGACCGGGTCACCGTCTCGAGAAGCTAGAGGAGCCTGCAACACTTTTGCAATCCTCTTCAGGGTATACACACACATACATATGTATGTGAGTGTGCATATGAGCTGTGTACGTGTGTACGAGAGCAAGAGCGAAAAAAGCCAAGCGAGAGAGCACGGAAAAAGCCAGTAGCATAATGAAGAAACGAGTTAAAAGAAACCAACGCCACATATACACTCCCTTGACGAATGAAAAAAAAAGTGGGTAGAAAAAAAAGAGAGAGAGACGGACGAACTCGTTTCTCGTACGTGCGGATGCTCCACGCACGTACGCGCGGGCCGCTCGAGAAGAGAGCATGATACTTTTCTCTGGGCAAGAATTAATAAAAAAAGTACACACACATGTACAGACTGCTGCTGCGCTGTAAGAAGGAAGACGTATGTCGCGCGACCGCGTATACATCATTACAGCCAAAGAAAACTTAACTTTTGTAATACAATTATGTGAGAAAGTTGAAAAACCTGCCTGCCTGCCTGCCTGCCTGCCGGGGTGCGTACGTGTAAGTTACTGCCTTTTACGATACCGGTACGAGCGAGCTCACACAGAGCGCATATACATTTCTTTTCAACCTGATTTTTACCCCTCTCAATGTTTATTTCTCTTCTTCCTTCTTTATTTTTTTTTATTATTACAACTCTCGTATAAGGAGCTACAAAATCAATAGCGTACGAGCTTCTCGTCTCTATTTCGTACAGTATAAAGTCTGAAAGCACGTAATCAATGTGAATGCGATCAATCACTATCGCTTCCGCTCCGCTTCGTTTTCTCCTTCTTCTTCTTCTCCTTCTTTTTTTTTCGTACTTCCCACGATTTTTTTTCCTCTTTTCGTCGCGCAAGCTGCCGACTGCGATATCGTCGGCGTCGTTGGCATCGCGAATGCGCATAGAATGTTTTTCTTCCAGAATACGCAGCGAAGCTCTCTCTCTCTCTCTCTTTCTCTCTCTCTCTCGTGCTCCTCTTTGGGAGCGAGGAATGCGTCTTCCGTTCGTTATCGTTATCGCAACTGATCTGTCTTTGCTTCTTTTCTCTTCCGCCATCTCTCCTTTTTCTCTCTCGCACTCTATCTCTCCTGAGTGCAGAGAAAGAGCGACTATCGCTCCCACCCCGAGTCTATGAAGAGATAATAAGCAGCAGCAGCAGCAAGCTTTAGAATTTTCTTCCTCGGAACCTAGGTAGCTTGTCCCCTTCTTTTTCCTCTCTGTCTCTCTTTCTCTTATTCGCGCAGCTAAAAACACGCGGCAGCGTTGAGCCTCATGAATGCCTAACGAGATATGGTAATCAAACGACGATGAAAGCTTACTCTCGCTTCTCTCGCTCGTGCTACTACGCGCTGCTACTGGGCGCCTGTCACCCCAGAAGCTCTCTTACCCCCGCTTACACTCTACTCTCGCGCTTATACCTTTCAAATATAATCGAGCTGCACACAGCCCCGTCTGATATACTGTACTGGAGCAGCAGCACGCATACAAAAGCGTGTAATGTACACATACAACTCGCGTGACTCGTTTGGGCTCTCTCTTTTACTCTTAAAAAGCATCAACGCTTCATTGTTATATATTTCGTATACATCAATGATGCAGCGAACCAATCGCAGATATTGTACATTCAATACTCGTCGATGTTTAATTAAAAGCAAAAGAAAAGAGTCAAAAATATTCATTGTACGATACGCGTACATGTACGTGGGCGTCAATGTGAATTCACTCACACTATACAACGGCTGAATGTATATGCAGCACGCCCCCTACAAAAGGCGAAATGAACGAAAAAAGTTGCTGCGTATGACCAAAATGCTACACGGCCGCGCGCTTGCGACGTGATGAAAAAGACGAAAATTCGAGTGGGACGTTTGTGGCCTGCGCGCCCAGTCAGCAATTTACAACGGGTGCCAGTGTGCGCGCGCGAGGAGGGGTAGGGGCTGCTGCGGAGGCCGACGAGAAGGGAGAAAGGCGAGTTCGCAAGCTCGCCCGCGCGTGCAACCACACATGAGCTAAAATTGAGAAGTAACGAGGCCGTTGCTGCGCAGACAGAGGGAAAGTGAATGCGGATCTTCGTGCGCGCCGCGACTCCAGTGGGGAAAGGGGCCAGCAGCAGCAGCGAGAGAGATATATGGCAAAGAGAACACTCAAGTGTGGGTCGGTGTGGGTGGGGGCTCAAAATTCGAACGATGGGAAATGCATATTTTTGCATCCACTTAGTGCGCCACGCTCGGCAACCGGCACACCGCACCATGCGTCACGAGTGCGAGAGAGAGAGAGAGAGAGAGAGAGAGAGAGAACTGAGAGTGTCTCTAATTTTCAACGTCAAGCTTATGTGTATGTATGTGTAGCTGTATATTGAAATCCGCTGCAGTGGAAGTAGTGACTCGCACGCTTGGCTTATGCCAGTTGACAACACATACAGAGAAACTATATTCGCCTGCTGGGGAGGCTGCAGCTCTGCGACTGTTTTAATTTTGAGCATGAGCAGCACCAGCGACGATGACGACGTGTCCTTTGGCTTACTTCCCGAGCTCGTTGATTATGAACTCCACAAGCTCGAGACTTGGCTTATTTCTTTTTTGAGCTTTGAGCTGTGTTACAGTTTTGAATGAAATGTTGTGTTTTTTTTTCAAGTCTAACTATCTATTCCATCATTTAATAATTTCTTTATCAACCAGATTTTAAACACCATTTTTTCCCATTTAGTCAGAGAAGCGCTTCCTTCGTCTTGCGTCTGCAAAAATATTATTATTAATCCTTAAGAAACGGTCAATTAAGAAACTTTGTTACCTTTTCTTTTATCCAATTCGCAAAGTAAGACACCCTGGTCAAAACGCTCGGTATCTCCAACGCGCCACATTTTAGAGATGACTTGATGATCCCCACTTGAACGCCGTTTTTATTAACCGCTGGACCTCCGGAATCACCCTGGAATAACACATCAAATGCCTTTAAATTCAATTTTAAATCTCTCAAAAGCTGTTTTTGAGACCTACTCTGCATGAGCTTGCTGTAGGGATTTTTACTCCAGTATAACACATTAAGCTTTTATGTTTTCCAAATTTAGGGCAATGTGAAGAGTCTACCACTTTAATATTAGCCATCAATAAATCTTTCAGTCTCGGGCCTTTGTCCTGATAAATAATACATCTTAATAAAATACCAATCGGTTAATACCATACACAGTGTCATAAAAACAAACTCTTGTTCTTCCCCAGCCGGAAATCGAGAGCCTGGCTCCGGCCTTAGTAACGTGACCGGCCTTTGCTAATTTTACCGGCTGCACGAATTCGTTGAACTCGATATCTTTGTTGACGCGTATCAAAGCGATATCATTGAGCATAGCAGGCTGAAATTTCCCAAAGGATAATACTTATTTACAGTGAATTTCTACTCAGAGTTAAAACTGATGTAAAATTACTTTATTTGGATTATATCTCTCGTGAATGATGGTCGATTCGCTTTCGTAAACTGCTGATTCATTGTGGTTGACTAGCGAATTAGTACCTACAACTACACGGAGCTTATTTTTCCGGAATCTGTGTAAAAATGAGGCATCAATTGCACGATTAATGGCTCAATCGCATAATTTGGAACTTACTTGTTTAGACAATGCGCAGCTGTTAGTACATAACGTTTGCTTATTATTGACCCGCCACAAAAAACTACGACAGTCCCTCGATCAGTGATGCGCTGAATAAATACTTGATATGGAAATTTCCCGATTTCAGCCACAGATCCTTCATGAATTCGATGTTCTGATGCTGTTCATCCGTAATTCGTTTTTATTTTATTTTACTGTTACAATTTCATTATTTCGGTTTTACTTACCTCTAGTAAAATAAGGCAACCAAACTAGAAGAATGCAAATTCTTTGCATGTTTTCAATTTCGATAGTTTTAATAGCTACTATTTTTCATTTTCACCCGAAACTAATCAGAGTATTGAAAAACACGATCTTTTTACGGCGTGATATTTTTTTTGCTAAAGTCGACAGTACTTTATGTATGATTGGCCATTCAAACGAATGACTCGAATCGTGCATGTCATAAACAGACGTCGATATTCCTCTTTAATGACTCAAATATCACGTCAACGCACTTCGTGAGTTTATTCCTTCGTTTCGTGCCACGTAGTGAATTAAAAAAAAAGAAAAAAAAAAGAAAGAAAGAATTTCTTCCATCAAATCTCCACACAACGTGCACGCAACGTAGGAATCAGTTGGCTTTTTATTTCTCTACTTTGAAATCAGTACGATGTATTTTTCGCCCATCGCTTTAATTTCTAACCGCAGCGAATCAAGTGCTGCTCATCTACGCTGAATAGCGCATTCAGCACTGCGCTGCGCTGCGTGCAGTGTTTTTATAGCCTCGGCTTGCAAAACCGAATGTCACGGCTCGTTGCTTGCATTATTCAAAGTCGGCTCGCATATGCGGAGCTCCTCTATCTGCCTCTTTCTCTCTCTGTATATAGATTGAGCTGATGAGCCAAGCGTACAGTGGCAAAAACGCACGAGAAAAAAAGCTTACGAAATTAAGATAATTAGAGTCAATTCTGGTTGAAATTAAAGTTGGAGAATAAGATTACTTCTGTTCTCATTCATCGCTTATCCCTTAACATTGAGCTGAGCTGCTTCTCATCGCCTTTAATACACATATATACGTATATATTCTTGCTCGGGAACTGCAGTGCAGTCTAATCCTCGTTTCCGTCGAGCTTTTACTCATAGCACTCGCACACGAGCTATACCTCTCCTTTTTACTCTTTCTCTCTCTTTCTCCATCTATCTATTTCTTCCAGTGCTCCGAGCCAAGCCTTCTATCTCACTCTTTCTCTCTTCTCGATGGTGCAGGAGCACTAGGGAGAGAAGCTCGAGCTCAAACGATAGACTCTTTAAATTTTCGTATATATACTTCGGTTCGATCGGGTTAAAGATTAATTACGTAATTGAAGTTACGGGACTCGTTGACGAAGCAAAAGTGGCGTGAAACAGAGTTTTCGGTCTATGCGATATCGAAGCTTGCGAACCGCTGCTTGTCTCCTCCTCCTCTTCCTCCTCTCGTGCAATATGCACGGCTTGGCAGCTCTTGAAAATCCCGAGAAGCGATAATATTCCTGTAATTAAACGAGCTTGCGCGCCTTTAGCCCCCGAAGCCAGTGAGATTTTCCTCGCTGGAACAATAATTGTTGCTGAGCTTGAAAACGTCGAACGTACGCGGAGCGACTCGTATGCTCGGCTTGTCACTTTCTCCCTTCTCTTTCTCGCTCGCTCTCTACCAGCATCTAATAGGTTTATTTAATAATTGTAGTGGAAAACGCGTTATACATATTCGAGGAAATTCTCGGGGCTAAATTCGGTGCTCGAGCAGCAGCAGCAGCAGGCCTCGAATCGAAAGTTTACGCTATCACGAAGGAGCAGCACATTATGAGCACAAATACACGTCGAGCTGGATATCGGTTAACTGCGCGGCGAATGTTGAACACGCGCCCTGGTGTGCGTGTGTGTATGTGTCTGTTGGTTTGTGCGCAAGCGAGCGTTTGTCAGAGCCGCTCGCGCACACGCGCAACTACTGCTATACTGTACTATACGCTTGTGCAGCGCGCGCGTTGGGTTAACTTAATTTACTCGAGCTGTTCTCTCTCTCTCTCTCTCTCTCTCTCTCTCTCTCTCTCTCCTGGCCGTTAAGCACACGCGCCCTACATTCCCTTACCCTCTGAGCTGTGTGAGCAAAGGCGCGCGCGTCTGTGTAACAATAACTGCGCAAGATTATTAAAAGCCACTAATTGTTAAAGCTTTAATGCAAACATTATGTTTATTATATAATATTATATATATACTGGAGCTTTGGATATAGTATTGGGTTACATAATTATACGCGTCTCTCTCTGGTTTCTCGTTACAGGTGGACCCGAAAATTCGCGAGGATGCGGGATCGGCTTTCGTGGTACATGGTGTTTTTGATCCTGCCCACGATTCTACTGGCCAGATCGCTCGATAAAGGTAAGTTGGCTGCAATTTAAGCTTGTATTACACACAGCCACCAAGCAATGGTGGTGGTGGTGGTGGCGTAGAAAACGCTCGAGACGAGCGAGAACAAAGGGACTCGAGCACCCGCGTGCCTGGCTCAACACAGAGCAGCGGTGGTGTCGGCTCGACTTTTATATGGTTCAATGGCGAGCTGAGATACACACAAGAGTCTCTCGACGTCGCGAGCGCACCGCACACACGCGTTGAATCTCTGGACCGAGAACGATGACCGCAAAATAACAACTAAGACCGTGGAGCTGCCACGATATCACACAGCTCGTATGTCTATCGTGAATTAAACATGGCTTCGGGTACGCGCTTAGCGCGTCACACGTACACACGACGGCGTGGCAATGATTTTTTAATCAGTTCCATCGCGCGAGCGACAGCACTGGGCTGCTTCGTGCTGGACAAGAAAAAAAAGCAATTCAATGCAAGCCCGCCTTTCGCCCCCCACGTGGCCAACAGTTTTGGATACTTTGGAAGATGAGCTGGGCTTTAGGTATATACACACACACACGTAGCCACCGCCGCCGCCGCCACCACCACCGATGGCCGGTATATTAGCTGCGGGAGTCAGCTCTATCCATCATTTCATATAGCCGCCGCAGAGACGGGACGGCGGTGATCCCTACGGATCCGACGTCGGGAGGCCCGCAGCTCTTATCCCTTATGCTGCACAGGGACGAGCTCACACACACACACACACCCACACACACATGTACACGTAAACACACAGTATATAGCGCTACCGAATGTAAGAAGCTCGAGCTTTCCTTATATGTACGTGGACTTGCGCCATAAATATCCAATACGTATTACGCGCATATATGAGTTTGACCAAGGGCTTGAAGCTTACAAGCGTCGTCTTCGAATGCAATTTTCGCGAGATTCGAGCTTGCGGGCCCGCAATTCGAACGCGCATATGCTCCTCGAGAAAACTCGGCCAGCAGTACCCGAGCTTTCGTATCCACGTATGTGAGCACACACACCCACACACACACACTCACACACACACACATGTGCACGCGCATAATCTCGCAGCTGCACATACGGGCGCTTTCTTGCGAAACGTAACAGCCCGAGTTTACGGCTTCGGAGCAGTAGAATTTAACGCAGCACGCGCTCACTCGCCCACAGACATTATTTATTTATTTACTCGGGTTTTACGCGCGCGCGCTGCAGGCCACGAGACTCTCGTTTTCTCTCTCTCTCTCTCTCTTGCTCCTTCTTCGGCTTGTGGCGCCCGGTATTTTCGCATTCTGCGCGCTCCAAAGTCCAGGAATCAGACTTTATTTATTCACGGTTTAGTCGCGCGCAGACGACGACGACGACGACGACGACGACGACGACGACGACAACGAAGCAGCCGTAGGTACTGCGCTCTATACTAATGCTTGCTTGCGCGCGCGGTTTGTTTCTCAAATAAGCATTACAATCCGAGCTGCCTCAGTCCCCGCTTCTTTACCCCGCATCTCCTGTATATACTTGCAAAGTTAGCCGCGCTCCAATTATTCGTACAGTTCGCTCTCTGGCTTATATGCAAAGTTACCTTTCTCTCTGCCTCTCTCTCTCTCTCTCTTTCTCTCTCGTGCTCACGGTCGTCGGTCGGTAGTGCAGTCCGTTTTCTCTCTGCTACTGTTCTCGCAATGCCCGCTCACTGCTGCTGCTGCTGTATCCAAGAGACAATGTCTTTCTCTTCCATCGCGCATTATGCGCTCGAGGAAAAGAAAAATCAATGCGCTCGCGCGGAGGAAAAAGTTTTTTTGTTTAACGGTGCGGGCTTAATTGAGCCTACGTTTTTATTTTTTTACTCTCTCTCTCTCTCTCTCTCGGATGCATAAAAATATCTCGTCGTATTTTTCTACTCTAAGTATTTTCGACGCTGCGGCACGCGGACCCTTCGAGCCGAATAAAGCAAAGTCTATATACGAAGCTGTTGCTGTACCGCAGCCGCCCTTTAGCCCAGTCAATGGGAAAAAATTTCGAGCGCGATAGCGAGAAACAGCACGGAATGCAAACAACACGGACAGACTTTGCAGCGCTTGCATTTTCTCTTCGCTATATATTCTCGGTGTATAATGCTAAAGTGTATTAAAAAGTTCGATCTGTTTCTATTGTTTGAGGCTGTCAAAAAGTGGTTTTTTCGATTCCTCGAAATTGAAATAAACTCTCTTTGTGGAACGTGTCAATTGTTGGTGAAAAATATATTTTTCAAGCAGTCGAGGTACAATATAATGTTCTTTTTTAAATATTTACTCAGTTTCGATGAAAATGTATTTCAAGCGAGTGTAATTCGATCGATTCAAAAGGAAAACCAATTGTTAAATAGAAATTTTTGGCTTCGAAATTGTATAAATTGATGGAATTGGGATTATTTATTTACTTTTATATGCTTCAGCCTGATACTTTTTCGAACCTGATGTATTGAACTTTATTATTTTTATCTTTACTACTATTATGTGGATGTCGGGTAATGGATGATGTAACTAGGGATTCTCAGGGTTAATCCGTATTTACGTCATATCGTTACAATTTTTTTCACGCCAATAAATTTTCTATAGTCATATTGATTTTTGTATTTCATTCGAAAAACATTCTCTTCGTGAATTAAATTAATGTCATCGACACCTACATGCACGCGTGCATCATGTTGACTCTATGTTTGAAAAATAGTGCGGTATAGGTCATTAGCATCCAGTCTGGAATCGTTTCCATCACCGTCGGACGGTTCATCGCGAAGCTAGCCGAGCAACGTCCACGAGTTCCACATAGCCTTTCTCTCTTGAACGTCAATGAGAATTAGGCAGATTTACTCATTGGTAAATTGGTTGACCAAATGAGAATGAGAATCAGCAGCATCGAGCAGCGCAAACTCACACACTGGATGGACACGAAACAAAAGTGCGTTATATCTAGTTTGCGTGTGTGTATGTGCGCGTGTAGGTAGGTGGATCGGAAACGCGACTAGCGTATACTACACACATTCATAGTACATGCATATACATGAAATAGAGATAGCTTCGGAACGTAAAAGCAGCGATGCGACAATATAGCAGTGGGACGCGCGCTCGCTACGGTGTCGAGCGATACGCGCACCCACCGAGTGGCCATGGGACGTTTGACATCGGCTACACGTCCAACAAACTAGACTACATGTATGTATGAGCGAGTTTATGTGTATGCGTGCGTGCGTGCGTGTATAGGTATACGTGCACGCGAGCAGTGCGGCATTAGCCCGTCGTCCTCATTATGCGCGGATTATTTAGCGGAAGACCGGGAAGGGTAGGAGGAGGAGGAGGAGGAGCAAAAGCAGGACGTTATATACGCTAGATCGCACACGCGCCCCCGTCGTGTATCAGTGCTGCAGCAATAGTAGTAGTAGTAGTAGTAGTAGCAGCAGCTATATAATGGCTCGCTTTGTACGTGCGGTCCGTTAGTCCAACGAGCTGTATCGGAGCTGCCCCTCTCGGTCTCTACTCTTATACGTACACACGTCCGATCGAGCCGCGGTGGCGCCCGCACATACTGCACCGTTTTATGCCGCGCGCTCGTACGTGATTCCAAGACTCGCAGACCTTTGATGTCTCTCTCGCTCTGTCTGTCTCTCCTTTCCTTCTGTCTTTCTCTCCGTCGTACGCACCTACGATAGGACGTGCCCATATATCAATGAAAGCCACATTTTGCTATAGCCACTGATGATGAAAAAACTCCAGATCGATACGAGAACTCAACGATCGCTGCATCATTCCCGATACATATATTGCCGGTGAGGTCGGCCGCCTATCGAGCGCATCATAGCCTCTTGAGCTTCGGCGCACTTCGGTTGCAGGGATGCCTTAATCAGTATAATGAACGCGGTAAATAATTGCAATTGCTCGCGTAGATTATTTAAACGGCTGAGTACGAAACGCAATTTAATTATCTCGGGCTCATAATGCGGAATTCTTGTGCGCCTTTGGCTCTCAAGTTTGTATGTACAGCATACGTACACACATAATACACGCTACGCGCCCTTAGGTGCGTACGCGTATGTGCGTGCGTGTATGTGACGGGAATTAATCTCTTGTGAGAACGTCGCGCACACTTTCGTTCCAATATAATTACACTCCATATTATATTTTGCAATGCGCCAAGCGCTCTTTTGTATGGCTCGCCCCCTCTTGCTCCCAACGTGCATGTACCACAGCTGTGATTTCAAACGCGACGAGATTGAAATTTATAAATACACTTTTATTAATTGCTCGGCCTGATTCGTCGAGCTTGCAGCGCTGGGTACTTTAAAAAACTCACTACACTCGAATTGAATTACGCTTATACTTACGCGCATCGCGTGCTGTTTGCTCAGTCGTTCATTTTAATTTTTTTTTTTTTTTTTTTTTTTGCCAGGATCACTGAGAAAAATAAAAAGCCTCGAGCCGTGCGTATAGGTAAAGCAAGCGCCCGGCAATCGATATATCCTATTTCTCTGTTTTGTTTGTCTGCCAATATATATAAGTCTGTGTGTGTATGTGCAACACGTATACAATACAGCACGTGCATACGTGCGCGCAGTGCAGCACCGGCAGACACTTTGGAGCGCGCGATCATTATCACGTGCAAGGTGAATTGGAAAAATGCAATATAATTGATACGAGGGCGAAAACGAGTGGTTTATCGTTTTTGGCTGGGATTTTGCTGCCGCGCCGCCTGCAAAGTGTGTCGCATCGAGCCTTCTCTCTCTCTCTCTCTCTCTCTAGCGCGTTCGCAGTGTTCGATTGCTTGTTTCAGCCTTTTCCTGCGGAGTGCAAAGCCGTGCTCTACATTATTGCTGATACTTGCACCCACACACTTACACACCAATGCGCAGCTTCATGCACACACATATATTCACGAAAGGGAGAGAGAGAGAGAAAGATCGGAAACGCGAACAGTTATCTCGAAAACAGTTTATTATCCATTGAAGCAAGCTGCACGACGCGCATTTATGTAGA